TCCGTATTTGAAGCCCACCCACATGTTTGCACACTTGCTGGAACATTATCCTTGGATTTGCCTTGGTGGTTTGAATCCTGGCCCTAAAGCGCAGCAGTTGCTGCACAGCTTTTGGAGGACCTACAGAGTGGAACACCCATCGCATCTGCTGTTTCAGGACGCTGATGTTGACTATAGGTATGTGATACCTCTCATCATACATGGGGATGCGGGGCGCTCATTGAAGAACCAACCAATTGAGTGCATCAGCGTGCAGCCAGTCTTGGGTCTTGACACTGCTATGGACCCATTTGTTTGTACGTGCTGTGCTCAAGAGAAACATTCCGCAAGGGATTGCAATGATCCAATGGCACAAAGGCTGAATTCCAAGAACCATTCCTACCTAACACACTTCTGTGCAGCTGCCTTTCCAAGCAAAAAGTACCAAAGCACTCCAGGTTTGCTTCTGTCGATCTTGCATTGTATTTCGGAAGACCTGAGACAGTTGTGCACCGATGGTGTGAAACGACCTGAAGGCACATACAAATTTGCATTGCTCGGGTTCAAAGGCGATTTGGAGTACGTTGCCAAGTGTGGCATGTTGAGCAGAAGCTATCAGAATGTTGGCCACGTGAATCAGATAGCTTGCTGTTCAGATTGCAAGGCAGGGCTGCCCCAGTACCCGTTTGAAGACTTCACAGCAAGGGCACAATGGAAAAGAACAGTGCACATCGAGGTACCATGGACAGCAATACCTCCATTTGCACCAATAGCTTTCGAGCCCTGGAATTCTGGCAAAGCGAGCATGTGGTTCCGGGGGGACCCATTTCATATCTTCAGGTTGGGCATTGCGAGGAATTTCATCGGATCAACGATTGTCATGCTTGCCCATGAAGGACACTTCGACGATACAACTGACGCAAGCGAGAGTCGGGCATTGAAGGCGCGATTGGAGAGAGGATGGGCAAGCTTTGCCCTTTGGTGCCACACCCACCGGGAGACACCAGCTGGCCTCAGGTCTTTCTCCATCCAAAAGCTTCACATGCCTACTCAGGGATCTTTTCCGTACATTGGCTGCAAGGGGAGTGACACGATCTTGCTACTTCGATGGCTGCAATGGTTTACAGGGCTGGCCCTGATCAGCCATCCGGCAGACAACACTCTGACTCTGATGCTGCGTGGGTGTCAAGGGGGCCTCAGCTTTCAAAAGATACACAACCATGGCCTGTGGCTCAGGAGGCAGTGTCGCTTCAACATTCACCGAAGCATCAAAACCTTTCTCTCCGCATATGGTCACCTTGCACGGATTGCTCAAAACAAGCGCTACACATTGTACAGCATGGTGCCAAAAGCGCATGCTCTGGATCACATTGCTGATTTCATACAAAGGTCAAATGGGAATGAGTATGTGTTGAACCCATGCACTTTCGATTGTTCCATGGCAGAAGATTACATTGGACGCCTGGCGCGTCAATCGCGCAGGGTCAGCGCCAAGAATTGTGTGTCCAACACCCTGTTGGCATACAAGGTGAAGGCACGCATGCAGATCTTGCGCCATAAAAGGGCTCGAAATCTGTGACTGTTGCAGCTGTCTTGGAGAAAAGTCAGCATTTGTGTGTGTGTGGGTGTGCGTGCGTGTCACTCGTATATTTGTTCCATCTCTTAATTGTTTATCTCCTATCTTTGTCATCCCTCTCCATTCTTGTTTCCGTCTCCTCTCTCACTCTTCGTCCGGTTGCATCCGAGGCGCGGTCAACTGGCTTGCGTCGGGCATGAGGGCATGGGGGCATCGATCGAGGAAGAACTGGTCAATGGATTCCATGGATTAATATGTTGATTTCTTCTTGTTTGGTTTGGCATTGCTGGACCTCCGGATGGTTGGGGTTTTGCTTTCCTTACGTTCAATCTTGGGAAACAGCACGCAAACCATGCATTGAAGAAGATTTGGTTGCATATGCAGTCCCTCATACATGTGGCCTAAACATGGAAAGAGCCAAAATTGCTAGAGGCAGTTTTTGGTTTAAGAGGCTGAAACCAAGGTGAGAGGCAGAAATTTTTGATGTTTCTGCCAGAGGCTGAAATAGGGCACAGCCGGAGGATTGAGGTATATATATATATATATACGACATCACTCGCGATGGCAGCCAGATACGGCACGACGCATTACTTCCACGACCCTGCCTGTTTGTCGCATCCTTGGGTGGTGAAGATGGCCCTGGTCGTCGCCATCCCAGGCGTGGGGGGCAACCTGCCAGTTGCTGCGTGGCGGCACGCGGACAGGTCAGGCATGACCCCCTCACAGAAGCGGAAAATTGCGCCGCGTGGGAGCTGACGGTGCAAGACGAGCGGCTGGACCGAAGCCACGTGCGTTTGGCAGATGGCGGGAAACGGGGGAAGAGACTGGGCCACAGAGGCGCTGGACTATGTGCAGAGCACATCCTCTAGGGGGTATTCTTTGGGGGCTCGTGTAGGCGCAATGACGCCCAAGGTGGCCAAAAAATACCTCCAAGAACGGGAGGTGGAGGTGATTCATGACTGCTGGGTGGCGCGTGCGTGCGGAATTCCCGATGGTGCGACCTGACCGGGCGCGTGAAAAGGAAGGCGGACCTGGGGCATGGCACCAGTGGCCCGTCGGCACCCCTTTGGGGCGTATGCCTTCCGAGGGGGTTCGCGGATTCTGCAGCCTGCTTCCTCTTCACCAAGACCGCTTCGCGAACGCAGCAGTCTTCACCAAAACCTCAGCTGACCGCAGTGGAGCTTCCAGGAACGAGGACTTTGAAAAGGAACTGGAAGGCTGACAGTTCAGAGATCGCCCGGACAAAAGGAGGAGGATTGCGTGGGTGGGGTGATGTTGAGAGAGGTTGGTGTGGGTGAAGGGATGAACAACACAAGCCAGGGCCTCGTATCGTAGGGTGATAAGAGAGAGATGGCTTGGTGGAAGAGCGGGGCAAGCCGTATAGGGGTGTAGCGGAAGGACTGGGGTGAGGCTGGGAACCATGAGCTTCCTCTGCCAAGATCGAGCATTGCAATGAACAGGAAAACATGACCACCAAGAACAAACTAGAAGCATATAATGTTGAATTTTGATTAATAAACGGAGGTTGCAAATCTTGATATGTTTGTTAATAAACTCTAATTTTAAGTTAACCCTAAAGTTCATCCCAGGTTCCAAGAAAGAATTTAATAAATAAATGAAATGATCCCGTACTAAAACAAATTTAAGTCAAAGGGAAGAGATATATAATTCAAATTAGAAATAGGTGTAAGCTGGGGTTGTTGTAAAACGTGGTTGGATGTAAACGGTGGTTGGTGCAAACAATGGTTTGGCGTCAACGGTGGTTGGTGCAAACTGTAGCTTGGTGCAAACCAAGGTTCTTGTAAACCGTGGTTTGGTGTAGACGGTGGTTGGTGTCAGCCGTGGTTTGGTGTCAACGGTTGGTTGGTGTAGAACTTTGGTGTAAACGGTGGGGGTGCAAACCGTATAAGCCAAATGACGACGACGACGACAACAACGACGTCGGCGTAGACGACGACGTGGGGAGGGGTGTGAGGGGGTGGTCAAGTTAGTCGAACCCAAAATCCGCGCGGAGGAACCTTTGCAAGGATGAGCAGCTTTTATAGGAGTATTAGACAATAATAGCATAGAACAAATGTAATACAAGTACAATACGAGAACATCCACAAGACACACCGGCAGGCCGGCGGATTCCTGATTCAGATTCTACTTGGTCTCTGATGGCTGCTACATGTTGCAGCGACTTCGCACGCCATACGTGTTTTACTGTCTCATGTTATAGGATCCCTCCCAGAAGTGGGTGGCATGCCTGGAAAGACCATGTTCCTTTTACATGTTCGATGTATAGACTCTTGATTAATACGTTTGTAGACACTTGACCAGATCAGATCAACAAAACTCCGGGATTGGATTGTAAATTTTTTTCATGTGGTTTTTGCATGTTACGAAAGCCAGCCTTCGTAGAAGGCGCTAGCGGAGTTGTGTTTGGCGAACGAAGTGAGTAGTTAGGGGGTCTGGGGGGGTGGCCCGGGAAAGGTACACGTAAACTCGGCACATGCTGGGGGAGGAGGGTGCTTCGAGGGAAGGTTTTTTGAGGTTGTGTTGGAGGTGATTTTTGAGGGGTGGTGATGCAAGAAATGCAATCTGCATCATTTGCATCATCTGAATGGAAAGGTGTAGTTGGCACCTTGCCAGGTATAGAGACCCAGGGTAGCTATAGTGCAGCTACCAGG